TAATATATCATAGAATATCTCAAGTTGGAAGGGACCCATAAGGATCATCAAGTCCAACTCCCTGCTCATATATGTGTGTATATATAAATATTTATCTCATGATAAGAACGCTTAAGGAATAGTTGGCGTTGGGGTCAGCCCCATCCCTGGCAGAGACACGGCACCTGGAGATGGGAAAGCCCTTCTCCTTCCCAAAAATCTCCTTTTCCCCATTTTTTCAAGGAGCTTTCTGACCTTTTATACTACAAACTGAATCGCCCAAATACCAGGGAAAAAACCCACCTCCCATTTGCGCTGGTGAACTGGTTTTAATCCCTTAATTCCCTTCTTTGCTTAAATGATCTTATACTCAACAAAAAAAAGGAAAAGAAAAACACAATAATTAGCAATAGTGAATGCCTCAGAAGGATCTGTGTACAGAAAGGAAAACAAGAGCTTGGGCTTCTTTGCATTTAGTAAATATTAAAATTAATGAGAGACTTTCAGGGCCCTGTTGTCAGAAATGCAGAAGGGTTTCTGTGAAGGATTAAAAAAAAAAAAAAAGCCCTGTACACACATCTCTGCAATTATTCTGAATGCTTTATATTTTTCAGCCAATTATGAAATTCATGGAAAGTATTAATATCCAATTTTAATTTGCTCAATATTCCCATTAACAATAAAAAGTCTAATTAAGGTATCTGTACAAAAAGCCCTTAGCAGTAATTTCAGAGAATAATAGAGGAGAATGACGAGATATTTCTTGTTAAATGCATGCTGCAAATTAATTGATATCTTAATTAGACTTTAGTACTAAGATTATTAGTTAGATTGATTCAGGCCTGAAACACCTCATCTTTTAAAAGATAAAAGCAAGCGGGAGAAGAAAAAACTGATTTTCCAAAACCTTTCTGGAAGCAAACCAGGGATATGCCGGGACCGTTCGGGAGCGATGCCCTGCTGCAGGGCTAAGGCCTCGTCCGTCTGTCCCATCCGTCTGTCCCGTGGCCACGGAGAGGAATTCAGCCCAAACCCATTTTCCCTCTGTTTGCTTCCCTGGGCTGGAAACATTTTTCTCACCACAAAAAAATGAAAGGGAAAATTTGGCACCGGCGAGATTTTTACCAAAACCACTTTTTTTAACCAAAAATAATAAACGGCAGCAAGAGATGTTTGAAACGACCGGTTGCCTCTGCAGAGAAAACTGATGGTGGGGAGTTTTCAAAGCGGGTTTTTTTCAGCATTTCCTTAGAAGAAGAAGAAGAAAAAAAAAAAACCCAGCAATATTTTTGGACCAGCTTCGCTCTATATAGCCGGAGGAAGCACTCCCCTACCTACACGCCGAGCACCATTTACATTTCTCTCGCAAACGTTCATCCTTTGGGATTTCACCGAGATGCTGCCGTGCCGAGAATCCAACCCTCCGGGGCAGGGACGCCCGACGCACCCCGGTGCTCGGGGAAGCCCCGAGCCGCTGGGACCCCAAGATATGGACCCCACAGCGGGGGACTCACTGGGATGTCGGTGACCAGCCAGTGCCTCCAGAACCGATTCCTGGGGTTGGCTCTGCTGGGAGCATCGGGGTCCACCAGCACCAGCACATACTTCTTGCTCTGCAAAAGAGGAGAGGAGAGCGCTACGGGCACGGGGCGCGGGACCGGGGGCTTGCGTCGGCGGCGTGCGAGCAAGGAGCATCCCTCCAGGAGTTTTACCAGCCCCCAAAATACGTTTTTTTCATGCTTTCCCATGCATGCATGCTTTGACTGTTGCATTCGTGCAAAATGCGCAGAGAAGGTGAGCGATGAATCTGCGCCGGGGGAACGCGAGGGCCCCAAACCCGCTCGGGACGATTTACTCATCACAATCTAAATCTCTTCAAAGAGAGGAAGGACAGGGGTTTTCTACTACCTCCAAATAAAAGGCACCAAAGAGAATCTCCTCCCCTGCCAGCCATCCTCTAACCACATCCTACAGCGGCGCAGGGCAGAGCGATGCACGGGGGACTTTCTGCAAAGAGTTGCAATCCCTGGGAGAGGGGGACAGGATATTTTGGGGATTCAAATCCAGCTCCAGCCCCAGGGCGGTGGCTGGGGACAGGTTGGACACCCCACCTCTGCCAGGGTGGCTGAGAGGAGCTAAGCTGTACCTAACCAACCGCAAATTAACTGAAGGACTAAGCCTCGAGGGCTGCGAGGGCACTCGGAGCATCTCACTGCCGCTCCCCGACGTGCACCAGGGATGCTGCAAGAAGGCAAAGCCCCTGCCTCGCCACGCACCCAGGGGTTTGGGCAACTGCTCCTGGATGATGGCAACCAGGCAAAGAGAGCAGGGACTCGCGGACGATGCTGGCTCAGCCCCCCAGCATCCCCCGCAGCCCGCCCCGGGTCCCCACCGAGGCTGTCCAGCACCCAAGGGTGCCACCAACGCTGCGAGACAAGGTGGATATTTTGGTCCCCCAAGGATGGAGCTGGGTTTGAAGTGACCTCTGGAGGCTGCGGATAGAAAACCTGCTGATCTCAGGGGATTTGGCAGGACCTCAGGCACCAGATTATCCTGCAAGCACCCAGATTAAGGGATCTATATCCTAATAAAACCTCCAGGTGCATCTGTCAGCTCGCCAGCGGTGCCACGCACCGCTCCAGCGTGCCCGAGGGCTGAGGTTTCATAAACGGCTGGGGGGGTTAGCCGTGCAATTCCCACCAAAATTAGCTGGAGCTCTGCAGCTAAATCCCCCAGTCACTTGTGAAACCGGGCAGGGATTTTCACAGCGAGATCGTTGGGGCAGAGACAACCTTTTTACTCTATTTCCCAACCCCTGGTTGGGGCAAGCAAGCCCTGGGGTATTGCCATGCCCAGCGATCCCCCGTAGCCCCTTCCTTTTGCAGCCCACCGCAGCCGTGCGTTGCTCAGCCTCCCTTGCAGACAACACCTCCACAACAACCACCAGTTTAACCAGAAAAGGTGGATTTCAACCCATTTAGCAAACAGCTCGCAACAGTTGCAAAGAAAATCCCAAGCTCATGCAACCGCCCCGCCTGGGAGCGCGGCCAGCGAGGTGCTGCTGCCCTGGTGCATTAATCCCAGCCTGGCTCAAGGCATTTGCATCGTGGGGGGTTTACGCCAAGCCTGCAGATGTGTGCATGGAGATGGGGCCGTGACGGTGCCACCGCATGAGGCCGAAGGTCAGGACCTCGGAGCAGAGCTGCCACCTCCCTCCCCGTGGTGCTCGCAGCTGCAGCCGGCTGCATCGCTGCGAGCATCCCAGAAAAAATCAGCAATATTCCTTGCCAGCGCTGAAATCAGCGTTTAATGGGAAGGAGGAGGGGGGGAGAAGAAGCCCGACAACCCAAAAACTCTACGCTGGAAGTGTGAAGGAATTTGAGCTCTAACTTTGGGGAGGGTGCGGAGCTGAGCACGGTGTTTCTCAATCTCTCGGCTCTGCTCGGGAGCCCAGCTGGTGGGAACAGAACGTGTAGTCATGGGACTGTCATCGTGTGCTGTCCAGGTTAACATGTAGCATTTCTATTACTATTAACAGACTTTCTGCTCCTCACTCCATCTGTTCTTCGAAATAATTGCAGTTGTACAGACCATGCCTTCGCTACAGGCAGGCTCTGGGGAGAGGCTAGTGCTTTTGTGCAAAAAAAAAAAAAAAAAAAAAAAAAAAAAAAAAGAGAAAAAAAAAAAAAAAAAAAAAAAAAAAAAA